GTGAATTGCTTGCGCCAGTCGAATCTGTTCCGTTCATTAATACACTTGAAAAAAAAAAAAAACATTGAATCATCTTCCTTCAGCTATGGGCTTAAATTGCAGAGAGAGACTGGGTCTTCTTGCCTTGGGTGGAAGCCAGTCTAGGAGAAAGAAATCTCTGGATTCAAACCTGGGGAAACTATTTTGGAGACACAAGCCTTCACTAATATAATCAAATAATATGTGTGGGTAGTCTAGCCGTCCTGTAGTTCTAAGCTGAACTGTCATGCCCTCATACATCACATTCGACGAGAAAAGTCCATTACATATATATATATATATATATATATATATATATATATATATATATACTGGCTATCTCTTGACTAACTCCTTCCTTTGAAAATGATCAATGATGGTCGAACGTATTTGGAATATATATATTCGGTAATGTTCTTCACAATTTTCCACTTGACATCGATTTTTCCGTACTATCTATCTAATTATCTCTCTCTCTCTCTCTCTCTCTATATATATATATATATATATATATATATATATATAGATAGATAGATAGATAGATATAAATTCAGTTGTATGGATATGAGTTTGTAACCCTGGGTTTCACGCTTTTGCGATCATCAAACTAGATTATTTTTTAAAATTGGATCTATTTATACTTGCTTGACTATGTTTGGTGGTGGGAGGGGGAATCTCCTTCAGTGTTTGTTTGAGGTGACACTCTCATACGCATAGACACACATCCCTACAGGTGTACGCATTTTAGTTCGCACAAACACATCCGTATAATCAATCCGAAGTTAGGCGCAATTACATATCCATGCGTTCGGGCATACATACGTACGCAGTTGTAATTCTATTTCGGTGTCGGGACCGTAGCTTTTATATAGATAGCGATTTTCCTTTCAACAAGGAGTGGGTAGGGGTATTCTTGTGGCTTTGCAGATCTACCGTCTCCTCCGTCAGAAGAACTCACACTTTGTCACATACACATAACCACATGTAGACGCGCACATACACTTCTACTGGCCATTTCACCACCACTTTGGTTAAGTTGGGTTCTGTTTGTGGGCATGGTGATGATGGTGTTTGTATTTTCAATGCTAACTGCTTGTGTGTTGTTAACGATTGTGATCATGCCGATAGTGATAATAACTGTGATATTAATTATTATTAATATGTTAATGATATATATTAATGTGTTAACGATAAGTTTAGCCTTAATAATGATGGAAACGAAAAAAGGGGAAAATAATAACAATCGTAATTATGATGATAATAATGCAGAACACACACACACACACACACACACACACACACACACACACACACACACACAGAATATATATATATATATATATATATATATATATATATATATATATATATATATAATACCAATTGGTAATCGGTAGGGATAATTCCAAGGAGGACATTAACCCAAAGAGAGCTCAATGTAAATAACAGAGCAATTTAATAATAAGTAAAGACACTCCTTAAAATTCATTTTGGTTACAATTTATTTCATGAATATATTTATCAAATATTCATCTCTTCAGACCGAAGATATATATATATATATATATATATATATATATATATATATATATATATATATATATATTCATCTTATGCAGTGTTACCTTAGAACATGCACATATCCACTACAAAATTGTACATTTTTGTTTCAACGTCAAAAAAAAGAAAAACCTTTTTAAACGTCTCATCAGGTGGGGAATCACGGTGTTACTAAAATACTAAATATTTACGGCTTTACTTTGTGTATTGAGCATTTTTTTTTAAATTAATGTTCTGAATGCCGTAATCTTACTGTTCGTTCTTCTACACTTTGTGATATATATATATATATATATATATATATATATATATATATATATATATATATATATATATATGTGTGTGTGCTTGTATGTGCGTGTGTGTATGTATGTGTGTGTGTATAGTGAGTATGAATTCCATACAACAATTCAGTCGACAATGTTTATTTGGTTAAATTTTTATTCTAATTTTTCAATAATATATCGCAGACAAGTATTCACCATTTGTACGATGTTTCGCAGATAAGAATATAGGCTTCTGTCTGTCAGCACCTTATGGTGGTTGGTGTGCAGCGTCTTAACATGTCGTCGCGTATCGCTTAGCGGCGCTGAGAGTGAAATCGGCGTGCTGAGTTCAAATTCCGACCGAATTCGTTGCATTCACTGTTGGCGAGACGTAGAATATACCGACTGCACCCCACCCAGTAAAAAAAGCAAGACTCCACTTTAGAATGGGCCCCCTACCAAGTAATTGCTCACAGAATCAAACGCAACAGAACTATATTTACTTCTTGAACTAACTTATATCAACAAATATAAACGGCTAATTGTTATCTATCAGCACGTAAGCAATGATGGCTCTCCACAACTGCCTACCTTTTGTTGTGCTAAGTATTTTTTATTCTTTACCGCCTTTTTTTGTTCTGGGTTCTGTCGCCAATCCATAAAGACTCGTTAAGTAGCTTACTGGCTGTTTCTTTTGCCTTCACTATTACCTGTGAGTGTTAAATTCTCCAGGCATTCTTTTCTCGTTATGTGTCGCAGCCAACATTCTCTTTCCAATTTCCTTTTTGGCGCTATTTTCTTAAGGGCTTACGGTCATATCATAAGTTAAGCTACGTCGAGCCTGGTTAGTAACTAGATGGGAGACTGCTTGGGAATATCAGGTATTGCAAGCTTGGATGTGCGGCTGGTGTAAAGAACAACGGCTCGGAATTGGAATTTATTTATTGTGTTCCATGGATCAGTTGTAAGTTTCGTGGAATAATTAGAATCCATTAGTCTCCGAGCGATTCTTGTAAATACCTGATAGGTGGTGTATCTTGTAAATACCTGATAGGTGGTGTGTCTTAGGACGCGAATGTGCACGTTGGCATGTTTGACTTTGTTTATAAATGGCATTTGCAAATGTGAAATATTTTACAGTCCCATTAACTTTGGTACCTCCACGAGATTGCTAAAAAAAGAACATAGCATGATGAAAAAGACGCCAAACTTGATGAAAACAAAATTTTATCGTCTAAATGTTTATGTTATTATTAAGAGGAAAGATCAAAGTATTTTGGGGGTATTTTTTTTACATTTTTTAAACGTTCCTAGCACGTCTGAAATTTTCGTTAAAAATCTTTTTTTTTTTTTTTTTTGAGTCAGCAAAATTGACCATTTTTTCCATTTTAAAAAAAAAAACTGGAAATCTGACTTTGAAATTTTTTAAATATCAATTATCATTTTTTCAAAACTTATTTTAAGAAAATCAGAAATTATAATGTTTATTTAAAATATTTTGAACCAAACTTAACTTAGCTTTTTGTGCCAAAAGATGTAATTTGAAAATAAAACAAAGCAGGTCATAAACTTTCGCGTCTCTTGACATGTGGTGAATGATATATTTACGAATTCCATGAGGCTAATTTGTTCTACGGAAGGAGAAAAGTGAAATAATTTACATTTACGTGAACAAATTATTTACCCCGTTATTTTTAACGAAAACTTTCAGCGGTCTAATTTTTTTTTTTTTTTTTTTTTTTGTACTTAGCTTTCACCTTTACGTTTATGATGCTTTATGGGAAATATATTCTAAAAGAAATTAAAATAAAACTGTTAAGAGTGACATTAAATTTCATATTTCTTAAGAAAGGTATCTAATTAATTTATAGGTACCTTTCTTATGAAATTTTATCAGAATTGTACATAAAATACTATAATTTTATGTACATTTATTACATTCTACTGTTATTTGTATTTGCATTCATTTTATTATTAATTTTGATATTTCATTTATGGAAAATGTCGTAACTGAGATTAATATAAAAAAATAAGATCATATACATTTCATAAGATGATACTGATACTTGTAGGTACCCTTCTCAGTTGAAATTGAAAAATCAAATTAACTTCTCCACACGTGTTTCGCAAAAGTAAAGGCCTTAACAGCGGAGAACAATGCTTAACTCAAATAACGCAACTTAATTATATTTTGGTTGGTCTTCCGTATTTTATAATTACAGCTCGATTATAAGCACAAAATTACATTTCTTAATTACTGGGGATCTACTGATTAGTCAAAATGATACAATTTACAACGCGCTAAAAAAAGATCTAACTCATAAGGACACTTATGAAAGCCGATGCGGCTTTTAACTAATTTTATAATATTTTAACAATTTAAATGTACAATCTATTATAATTAATGAAATAACAAATAATTGTATTAAAAATTCATTTTTCATCGAAAAATTTTTTTGCTTTCAGAAAATATTGTCCATATTCATAAAAACAACTAAAAGCAAATAAAAGCATTTGAAATTAAATAATATCTTTGTTTTATTGAGTTTTGTATGTTACAATTCAGAGCTGATTTTCAGGTACTGCGTATCCAATTAAAAACAAAAAAAACATGATTTGCATTCCTGAAAAGCCCTGTGCTTTTAATTGTTGTAATCACTAAAACCGATGCGATCGAATTTCTAGCGTTTTCATAAAATTAGTTAGGGGGGGAGGTAATAAATATTTAAAAAAATATTTTTACCATGACTTTCATAAAAAAAACATATTTATAATAATTTCGATCATCTGTGAATAGTTCCTGAAAGTTCCATTAACATCCGATAATTATTTCTATTTTTGCACGATTTTCAAATTAATGTGTCATACCAAAAAAACGTGCTAAAATTGTCTATGTTATTTACTAGTTCCGCTGATACAAATAGAAACAAGGTTTTTAATCAAAATTTAGAATGTTCTAAAAGAAGTAAAAAATTTTAAAATAATTAAAAAAAAAACTTTGGTCTTTCCTCTTAATAATAACATAAGCATTTAGACAATAAAATTTTGTTTTCGGCAAGGTTGGCGTCTTTTTCATCAAGCTATGCTCTTTTTTTAGCGATTTCGTGGAGGTACCTACATTAACTCAACACTGACGAAACATTTCCGAAGATTTTTCTATTTCGATTTCGAATGGTATGCTCTTGTAAACAAAATGACACGGAATATGAAAATAAGAATATGTGTGTGTAGAAAAAAAAAAGAAAGAAAGAGAAAGCGAGAAAGAGAAAATAATAGAAAGAGAAAGAGATAAAAGGTGGGGTGTATGAGAAAAGAAAAAAAAATGAAAAATGATAATAAGAGAAAGGGTGTAACAGAAGGATAGAGAGAAAGAGTAAATGATAGAAACAGCAAAGGAATGTGTATGAGGGGGGAAAAAGAAAGTTTGTAGAGGAGAAAGTGGGGTAACGTCAAAATGATAAAAAGAGAGAAAAAGTGTTTAAGAGAACAACACAGAGAGTGAGAGGGGGGATTAAATGAAAGAAAGAGAAAGAGGTGAGTGGAGGTGAAACCCCCCCCCCAAAAAAAGAACATGACAGAGAAAGAAAAATAGAAAGATGCATGTTTAAGAGAAAGAGAGAGTAAGAAAATTGAGAGAAAAGGAAAATGGAAGAAAATGGCTGCATGAGAGAAAGAGAGAAAATTATAGCTGAAGAAAGAGAGAGGCCATTGTTGTGTGAGATTCAGAAAAAGAAACGTGAACACGCCACAATAATTGAAGTCTCATTAAATCAGATTTTTAGATGACTATCAACATTGTCAGAACCTGAGCCATTGTTTTCTGATCGTGTCTTTGATAACTGGAATTGTCTTGAATTGGTACCAGCTAATATTTCTCTATGATTTGCAGTGATGGCCTTGATTTTGACTTACCAATCTCAGCAGAGAAACGTCCGATTTCTTCATCTTCAAACAATAACTTAGGTGTGGCATCAGCTGACAAGATGACAGCTTGTATAAATCTTTCACTATCCCAGAGGACTACAGCTTCGTGAATATTTTCTGTAAGGGAAAACAATGAACTGACTTATTGAAGTGATTGCCTTAGAAATCTTAAATTCGAACGTCTCGCAAAATTGGTCAAAAAATCATTTAGTAACCTTAGCTTAGTTTTGACACAAAGTTGCAAATATGAAACACCCAGTGAGAATCGAATTCATTAGTAAGTTATCTGCAGCTTAAAGACACCACTCTTTTCTGAGCACATGAACTCTTCCGTGTAGCGCTGCCACCTGTGCACCCCCACCCAATAATATCAGGTATCCCCAAGGTGTCTTGCTAGGCAGAGATGCTTAGAGATAGAATTTTTTTAAGCATTCAACTCCAAGCAAGGCAGGAAGCCACTAGCACGCAAGGGGTTACAGAGAGTTGAAGCGAGAGAGCAAAGAGGAATGATAGAGGAAAGGATGAAGAAAAGGTTAGGGGGTAGATCAAGGCATCTGGAGACGTCGATTGATATTACATTTGAATAGTTGGAGATTATAGCTATCAGGGAAACAGGAAAGGGGGGGGTTCCACAGGCGAGAGGTGCGAGACATGAAGCTATTCTACAATAGAATAGATGGCTACATTTAACAGTTTTGACAGTTAAAGGGTGTGAGCGAGATACCAACCTAATAGAACACTTAAATTCATGAAGTCTGGGAACCAGCGAAAGCAGCTCATTGGAGCAGTTAACATGAAAGTATTTGTAAAAAAAAGACAGAGGGAGGCGATGACATGTCTGTGAGAGAGCGACTGCAGACGAGATGCCAGATCAGAGCCAATTACATTGCATATCCGTCTCTGGATTTTATCAAGAACCTTGAGACAAACAGAAGGGGCTCCACACCATATATGGCAGCAATACTCCATGCAAGGGCGAATAGTTGATTTATAGATTTGAAGGATCGACTCCGGCGAGAAAAATTTCCTGGCGCGGCACTGGGAGCCAACTTTCCTTGCGGTGGACGAAGCTATTGACTCAATGTATTTGTTCCATCTCAGGTCCACAGACAATGTGAGACCGAGCAGTCGCAAAGAGGTGCTCTCGTGGAGTTGAGCGTCAGACATTCTAATGGAAGGCAGGGATGGTTCTCTGTGGTGAGTAATAGAGAGCAGTGAAGTTCTGTTGCATACACATTTCCTCCGGGGTCCGAACGAGAAACCTAAGGTCAGAAATAGTTTCATGACATTTTCCACTGATTAATAAAAAAAAACAAAACAAACAAAACCTAAGATCACACACATTTTACATAGATAAAGCTCTTCGTGATATGTGAACTGTACTTATGAGTACAATTTTTTTGTATTTCTTTAAGGCATGGGCTACCAGGAATCCCTTCAAAGTATCAATCGGACACTTCTCCAATCAACCCTTGGGCTCCAACCACAATTTACAAAAATTATTGATGCCCTCAAGGGCCACAGTTTTGAGATTTCTATTTCAGGCTCCTTGTACTTTGATATTTTTTGAAGATCTTTAAAGATGCATTACAATCTGCAGGAACTGCCATGTCAATAAGAAAGCATATTCTGTTCTTTTGGTCTTTGCTCACGATATCAGGGCGATTAGCTTTGATTGTTGTCTCTGTGTGTATTGTAAAGTCCCATAAAATTGTTACAGGTCCTATTTCTCTAACCGGTTCTGGGTGATGTTCATACCAGTTTCTTGCAGTTTCCTTCCCGTAAAAGCGGCATATTTTCCAGCACACTCTGTCATGGCGGGTTTTATATTCACTTGGTGCTAACACTGTGTAACCTGATACAATTTATCAATTGTCTCTGGATATTTATCACAGAATCTGTATTTGTGGTCAACATAATCTTTCGGTATGTGTGAGTGGTAATTTCTAGTTAGCAAGCATTGGTTCCGTACAGTAAAAATAACACCTTCGGTTTCATCGTAACCCCTGATGGGTATGGGGTTAGTCTACATCAGCTTCTTTTGTACGGGCGGAGTATTGACCATGAAGAGGCTTATCTTGCCATTGTTTCTGCACTTGGATCATTGCATTAAATCCCTTAAAAATCCATCTTGGTTATAATTTATTTCATTAATATTATAATATTCATCTCTTTAGACCAAAAGATTTTTCTAAAAACTTTCGAGCTGAAGAAATTAATAAAATACTCATGAAATAAATTATAACCGAAATGGGCTTTTAAGGCTTTTCTTGATTTATCATTATATTGCTCTGTAACTTATATTGAGTTCTCTTTGATTAATATCCTCCTTGGAATTATCACTAACAATTACAAATTGGTATTATATATATATATATATATATATATATATATATATATATATATATATATATATATATATATATATTAGTAAAACCTGGCGACTTTATTGATAAATTTACTTTTAGTATTTTATGATTTTTTTTATAAATATATATAAAAATCAGATGTCAGTGTTATTTTCCTTTTGGCGTAATTTAGATGACAATTTATTCATCGCACCCTTTTGTGTGGGGGTGGGGGCACGGGAGTGTAATGGATAGTGACTCGAATTGAGTAATCCGAGAATTCGTTATAATCACTTACGTGCTTATACCATTGGGAAAGGTATGAATCCATCTCTTCTCCCCCTCCCCCATCTATCGGTAAATATCAGAGCAGACTGGGTCCTATAGCCTTCTAAGAGAAGCACAACTCTGAACTCTAAACTTATGTTTGAGAAACTTGTCGCACGCTGTGCACTTGTTCTCGTTATTCCAGAAAGTATTGTCGGTTCTGTAGAATCCTTCGCCATTATAATCAAATCAAATGTGCAAGTCGTCTGCATGTTCAGTTCCAAGAGCTGAGCTGCTAGACATATATATTGAAATACATGTTCTTTTTTAATATCTGTATATGAATATGTGTATGTAAATATCGATATTTTCCCATTCTAATTCATTTTTTTTCCGTAAGTTATTCGTTTATTTTGTAATAAATTCATTTTTTATCAATTTTTTTTATCATAAATAAATGAACTGCTCCACTATCTTAACAATAGGTTATAAATATTGACATATTACAACGATCAATGTATGAAACTATGAGTTTTGCACCAGACGATGACGAACAAATGTATTTATGCATATTTATTTTTAGTATAAAGTTTAACGCTGTTATTTTACATCGAGCACTGTTTTATTACCACCAGCAATCACTGTGTGCTCTTTCATATTTATTTATTTATTTATTTATTTAGATAGATAGATAGATAGATAGATAGATAGATAGATAGATAGATAGATAATGAGCAGGCATATATATATATATATATATATATAGAGAGAGAGAGAGAGAGAGAGAGAGAGAGTGAGAGGGGGTGGTGCACGTGTGCATTTGATGTTTTAACCTATATAAAGTCTATACATATGTATCTGTATTGCCTTTCCGTTAATTCTATTCGTCACATTTCTGCTAAAAACAATCACAAGTGAACACTGGGGTCTGCTTAACATTGGCAACTTTCAATTTGAGTCGAGGTTTTAGGTTACGATAAAAGAAAATGAAAATTTCGCTAAAAAAAGAAAGAAAAGAATATTTAAATTTACAATTTGACTTGGTGGGAAACAGACGAAAACTATTAAACATGAATGAATGGATGTGTGAATGGACAAATCTTATACAAATAAATACGAACGCTTTCAATGACTCACCCTGAATAATAAGGAAGTTGAACGTATGTTGAATTGGAACAGCGAACCGGATGACTACAGAGTGATAGATTCATTTAGCTTTATTAATATAACATACTAGTGGGAGTTCAAACGTTCCCGACCTGACTAAAAAGCCTACCAAAATTCTGATGTTTGGTCATCTGGTCAAATTTTAGAAAGGGGACTTTTCAACATTTCCATATATATATATATATATATATATATATATATAAGGTATGGTATATTTATGGGTAAAAGTGCCCGATATCAGAGATAGAATTTATGTAAATAAAAAAAGTGGACATTGAAATCAACACTAAGCGGTGACAGTCTGTTTCTTGTTACAACGCAATCTTCAGGTCATGTGTGTTGTGTTTTATCTCGACTATTTATATATGCTGGCCGGTGGTGCATTATGGGTAGCAAGGTCTATTGTTTTATCTTAACTGTTATTGGGTGGATGGTAACGGTTATGTTTCAAATTATTCTACAGGCTTTTCAGTAGAAACAACCGCGGATCCGAAAGCGGTATTTTGTTAATTTTTTATTCATTATGAAAATATGTCCTCCAGCAGGATTCGAACCTGCGTCATGTTTCGTAGGAGGAACCAATGTCTCATCGGACATGCTTTAGACCATTCCACTACGGACAGCCACACAACTGATTGCCTTAAAGCGCATCTCCACGATCAGACTTTTTTTCTTGAAAACCATATCTGCTCAATTTCGTAACCGAAACGTAAACAAAGCAATTTCTAAAGAATGGATTTTCATTTTTAATCCGACGAATTTTTATTACGTCTCATTTTATAAACAGTGTTTATTTTGTCTACTGGCCTGTGCATTCGAGAAAACTTAATAGAAAATATACTCTCTGGCATGATTCGAACCTGCGACTCATATATAGGAGACACAGTGGAGTAGAGGATAGCGGCTCGCTTTGAGGAATCAGAGAGCCGAGTTCGAATTCCAGTCGAATCCATTACGTGAATGTAATAGGAAAGGTATTAATCCTCTTCTTCTCCTTCCAGCTATGAGTAAATAGTAGGACAGACTAGGTTCTAAAGCCTTGGATGCCAACTGGTCTAGGGGAAGGACAACTCTGAATTCAAATCCTGCGGAGGGTCGTTTGGGGACCTTGTGACACGTAGTGCACCACGTCTCTGTATTCAGCCCTTCAAAAAGTGTGGTTGGTTCTGCATAAAGTCTTCACCACTATAACCAAATCATGTGTGCTGGTGTCTGGCTGTCGGTTCCTAGAAACTTAGCTGCTTGACCCTCATACGTCGAACACGACGGGAGAATCCACTATATATATATATATATATATATATATATATATATATATATATATATATATATATGCACCTAACTAAAATCAAATCAAATATAATCACACGTAGTGTGTGACAGAAAATGATCTCTTATTTTATGTATATTTTCATTTCTTATGCGAAAACTATAAAAATTATATTTTAACTTTTTTAGATTGATAATTAAAGAAATTAATAGAAGAAATGTTACGTCAGTAAATTGAATATTTTTTAACGGTATGATATACTCCTTGAAGTATTTTTAACAAGGTGACACTGTTTGAAGCATTTAAACAGTTTGATACTGCTTAACGCATTTTTAAAAGAAATGACGTTCTCCCATGAATTTTAGTAAATTCTAACGCAATGATTCCTGGCGTTTCCAATTTGTCGTTTAGACTCGAACCCTGAATGAATAATGCCCGTATAGTTATAAAAATGATGATGATCTTCAATGAAACATCATCTGATGATGCCTCCTGTGACAATATAGATACCCACGTAAAAGACGAAGGTGTGGTCTTTATCTCACTCTCAAGTTTTTTTGTCTGATCGACCAGCATATCGATCTTTTTTAAGTCTAGCCATCCAAGCGGCTCCCGATTTGACCAAAAGGAAACGAGGTAGTAATGAAGTGGATTTGAGTTTTTTAAGAGATAAAGTGGCAACACGGAAATATAGGCTATCCGGATGATGGTCATACTTGGGCGTTTTACACTTTGAATCAGAAAGAGACAGTTGAAATTTATAAGACGCATAAAGACGGCTTGGAGAATTTGACACTCACAGGACATAATGAAAGTAAAAGGGACAAATGAAAGCAGATTGCCTACATAATAAGCTTGTGTAAATGGATAGTAGAAGAGGAGGATGGTAAAACATCAAACTTTACTAAGAGCTACAGAGGATAGAATGTTGTGGATAGCCATGATCGCTTACTGTAGGGTCACTATCGTTTAATAAGTAGTGTAAATTCTATATAATCAAATAAACAGGAATTAAATTTTATAATAACTTATTTATTGAAAAAAAAAATAAAACGAGAGCGCTTCATAATTAAAATAAAAAAAGTTCTCTTCAATTGAAATCTTAATTAAAATAAGCATTATTGAAATAATCTTTTGTGACGTACGGTGGCCATTAATGATTAAGTATAACCCAAGACTTCAATGTTAAAATAAAATAAAATTTAATTACAACCGCAAATAAATACTTAACAAGAACAAAGAAGTAAAAGTCAACGAAAGATAATTAACGATTTCAGTCAATACCATTTTAGTACCGCGTCTAGGCTTAACGTTCGGTAAATCCCAAATCAAAACCCAAATCATCGACGCACAATAATTCACACTAATTCGACTGGATCGTTCCACTCAATAGTCACTCAATAATCACTGCAGTCAGTAGCCTGACACTGCTATTTATACACCTGGTGGAAACATATTTATAAGTCCAGAGTGTCACGCTCGAATCTCGGTGTCAGTAGTTACTCATTTTCTTCCTATATGACAAATTTAAAACAGTATTTAGTCAATAGCGAGTTAGTTGGACAGATACGTATGTATATAAGTCATAAAGACTTCCTGGCGGCGTTTAGGGTATAGTTTCACCAACCTAGCCATTGTTGATGTGGTTTCATCATCAAGTAAGTTTTACGGAATTGATGTGATTTCACCCTAAGAAAGGCGATAATGCTAAATAGGACGCAAAGGGTTTCTGAGAGTGAAAGAAAATGAAAAAAAAATTACTGAGAAAGGACAATAAAAGAACAGCTTTCAAAAAGACAGAAGATAACTGATGTAATGGAATAACCTGTCACCCCCGTGAGTGACTACACTGTAAGTATCTGTAAGTCAACGGAGTACAGAGACTAGCTGGGATCTTTTCCAGATGTGCTGGTCAAACTCTCTGCCTGGAGGCAGAGAGGATCCCCAGACAAGGCTGTGTCGAAGGGAAAAGTCTCGGTCTCGGGAAACAGCTACACGACCTCGTTTTATACGGGGTCTACGGGGAATTTTTGAACGAGCCTACGGGCTCGGATTACTCCAAATTAAACTCAGCCTTGTGTCACATCCTACCTCGTGGTGAGGCTGGTAAATATCGACTAACTTTTGAGTACGACTTACGCGAGAACTATCGACCTTCCAATAATAGCACTCGCTACTGGATTGACTTGCGACGACCTTGTGCATATGTGTTATCTTTATTTTTATTGTATTGGTTTTTATAATAAACCTTTACTTATTTATCCACCTTTTTTTTTTCAAGTATATATTCCTATTAGCACGGAATATAACAATAACGATTGATATTGCATTTAAATTTTTGAAGATCAAATTTGATCGCAAAGCAAGATGGATTTTGGCAAGAAATATTTTCTAGCACGACACTGAAGTCCACACGTAACAGGTATTGAATTCAGAGTTGTTCTTCATTTAGACTGGTTGCCAACCGAAGAGCTAGTCTGTCCTTCTATTATAGAGAGATTAATAACCTTCTAATGGCATTTGTACGAAAACGGATACAGTGACTGGAATTAGAACTCAGCAAATCAATCCCAACTTTCATGCTAAGAGCCACTACTCCACGCGCATGTCCAGTGAGACAGAAAAACCGAAAAAATGGATGGTGATGGATCACTACAAAAATAGAGAGATAGATACCCAGCTAGAAAGGACATCAGTCTACCTGATTATTACTGTTTAGTGAGTTCAATTCTCATTCGCTGCCATATACTTGCAGTCTTGTACTAAACTCTGCTAGGCCTCATTCTTCTTCTACTATTGCAATTTGACTCTTCACAATCTTCTGTTATACAAAGAAAAGGAAATTGTGGAGAGCCATAAGTAAATTTTGTCATTTTGCTATCTCTCTTAAACCCTGCTCTGCCATTCATTTACACAAGCTCGTTTGTAGGTCATTCGCTGTTCACACCCCCACGACCCTCTTGCCGCTAATATGTCCTGTGAGTATCAAATTCTCTAAGCCCTCTTCCCTCTAAAAAGATCTCTTTTCTGATGTTAAGTATATATATATCTTTATATAAATGTATATATATATATACATATATATGTATGCGTGTATATATATATATATATATATATATATATATATATATATATATATAGTGGGAGGAAATAAATATTCGCACACATGAAAATTGTATTTTTATAAATGTAAAAGCCTTAACTAAAACAAAGTTTGATACATTTTATGTGTAAAGATACATTTTATTAAAAAAATATATATTACTTAATTAATTAATATATTACTTAATTAATTCTTATTCTAACACAAATTAATGCATTTTTTTTCATTTTAACTGATAAAAAAGTATTCGTACAAAACAAAAAAGCATATTAACTTAATTTAATACTTTGTGG